AGTGGGAACCCAAAAGTAACCAGTATTATCAATCTAGCAAGCAGGCTTTGGAACAAATGAGATGGGATACTCTTTATTGAGGTGATTGGGATACGTATACCACAAAGAGATACAATGATCATTGCTTGGATTGGGATTTGATGAAAAAGAGAAGTTTAAATTCAGTAGTTGAATCTCTCAGGGATGATGAGGCCACTGTAATTTCTTGGAATTACTTCATGCTTTTGTTGCATAGGACATTAGGTGTCAAGATGGTGCCAAATGGCTTTAGTGAGTTACTGAAACAGCTTTATCCTTCAGTTTCTGCAAACTCCTGCCCAGCATTCCCCTTCATCCACTTGTCTGAAAGTTTGATGACTGATGTTTCAAGAGATACTTATGTCTTTTTTTACTGCAAGAATCTCTCTCTCTCTCTCTCTCTCTCTCTCTCTCTCTCTCTCTGTGAGATGGTCATTTAGGTGTGGGGCTTGGCATTGGGTTTGAGATGTGAGATGGTGGCCACAGATTGCTGTAGAAGGGGACCAATCGTTGACAAAAATGAAAGGGGGAAAAATAGCTCAGCAGAAAAAAAAAGAAGGTTTGGAAGAAGCTTTCGAGTAAAGCTTCTCTCCTACGATGTGGTTGCTGAGTGCACTGCATGTGTCTCACAGTACAGTTTTCTTGGTTCTCTCTGCTACATCGCCACCCCCATCATTGATTCTCGGTGAAGAGTTCCTTTGGCAGTCACATGCTCATGAATATATTTGATCAATACATAAAGATAGTATTTATCGGTCAGACAGAATATCGACAATATAGATGTCACTCGATTTGTCAGTAGATGCTTTGTATCATCCGATACGCCTAATATAGTATTGACACTAGTCGATATAGGATTGTAAATATCGAGTTTTCCGAAAACTCGATATTTATTGACGTGCTAACACTCGACATGCCGGTATGAACTGATATCCGAGCTTTATACAGTATGGTATCGGTACAATGATAGCCAACCTAATTTATCTTATATTAAAGAAAAGAAACAAAATAAGTTGATCGTTCATAAAGAATACGTGGACCACAATGCAGAATTGATGATTATGACATGAAAGTTGCTGGAGAAACAAATGGAGGTAGAAAAGAGAAGAAAAAGGAATAGAATCAATGGGTGTGTTTTGGATGTTCATCCACCAGCCATTGTTCTGAGCAATACTTTGATGGCAAGTGCAGGTAACACAAGTTGGCATGCTCCTTTGGATTCTTACGACAAGCAAAGGTTACAAACTATACTTGGAATGTGGAACACGCCACCATCCGTTTCTAATGGTTGTTAGCACTACTCTTTCTTCCTGTTGGTGTGATCACGACTCACCACCACCACCTCATTCTTGCTCTCTCTGTCTGTGGTCTTCATTCCTCCAAACTCCAAACTCCAAACTCAAGCAAAAACAAAAAAGTTCCTCCATTTTTTTGATTGAGATCACAAACTTCTTCTTTAGGTTTTTAGGTGTCTTCACAATTCGTTAAGTAGTAGTACCCAACCCCAAAGGTTTCTGCTAAGTTTTTTTCTATTCCATAATTTTTCAGGTGAGCGATGAAGATGAAATTCCATAATTTATTTTATTCCATAATTTTTTAAGATGTCTTCACGAGCGTCTTTTTTTAAATAAAGATAAGCGATGAAGATGAGATTTGAATGATACTTTTTTTCCCGTAAGTTGAATTCATACCTAAGTTTTTTTTTCCCGTAAGTTTTGTTTTTCAATTGAATGATGCCTCGATGATAAATGAGTCAAATACATCAAACTAATATCTTAAGTATTAATTTATCATATAAAATTTTAGATCTCAATATTTGGAAAGTGAATCATATCATATCCACCACCAACAATCAAGTCTTATTTTTTTTACTTATAATAATAATAATTATATATATATATATATTGGAGTTATCAATTTGTTTTGTTGATAAAGATCTTAAAAATTTATCGCAATGTTAATGAACTCAAATCTCATCTTTGTCCTTTACACTTTATAAATAATAATGATAATAATAATAATAATAATAAAATTTTATTTTATATATATAATAAAATTATTATACATACATATATATATATATATATATATATATATATATATATATATATATATATATACATGAAAGAAAAAAAAGTCTACAAAAGGAAATATCTCAAATGTGAAAAGAAATCAGTAAATTGAGTGTTCTAATTTTGTTTTTAATAAAATTAATTTTACCTTTTGATAAGAAAGCATGGTGTTTTTTCAAGAATCCCTGACTTAAAATATTGCTATTTAAAGAATCATGGAGAAATGGAAGCACTGTGCAATATAGAGAGATTCAACTTTCAAAGTCCATGGCATGGCAACTTTTGATTTGACATCGGACTACTCTACATGTCTTCACGTTCGACAATTATTATGCTTGATTGGGATATGGAAGGGTGCATGAGCAGCAAACATAATTTGACATTTCTTCAAGCACAATCTTTTATCCTTGTGCATGAAATGAGAGTCCTTTGTCTTCCTTGTCGCTTCCCACACCACCACAACATGCATGACAAGAGAAGGAGTCATCTCTCCACTATGTGCTGCTGCTCAACAACACCTGTATGTGAATCGTACTGCAAACTATCATGATGGGTGAGTTGGATGTTCCTTTTTGCAGTTCGTAGCCTACAAGTTTGTGCCAACTACAACAACATGTTTCTCTGAGTACAAGAAGACCTCCATTTGGCCACAGCTGGGGCCCTCCCTTCTCCCTTCATCCTCCACCCAGTGATGATCTCTGCAGCTCCTCCCCCATCAGTCTGCAGGTCTTCTTTTTCTTCCCTTAAAAGGCAGTGTCCTGCATCACCCCTCCTCTTCTTTCTTGAGGTGCATCACCTCATCTTTGAATGATGATGCACCCACTTGCTGCTGCTGAGTCCCCATGGAAGCTCTTTTTCCTTTTAGAGCTAGACATTGTCTGGGGATCTCTACCGGATACCAGTCTAACATCACTCTGGTTGCAACCATGGAGTCGTTTTAATCCTCTGCAATGTTAGCTGGCGAGCTATGATAGCGGGAACACGATGGAAAGTTGGGGAAGTAGCCTCATGTGGGATGAACTGTAAATGGTTTTCTTCTCTTACACATAAAGCGTATTTACACACAAGTTGTGGCATTTCTCTCTGTCTCTGTCTCCTTTGTCGTTTGCAGAACACAGGAGAGAGAGAGAGAGAGAGAGAGAGAGCTGACTCTGTCATCTTCTCCTCATCATGTAGTCGATTCAACTCAAGAAAACAAGTATTAGTCGAAGTCACACATGTTGATTTCATGCTCTAACCACTCGAGAAATACCTGCTCGTTTTGGATCCATTCGACATGTTGCCTTCAGCTCAGCTGGTCAATGGAGGGAGTAGTTGTGAGGCACAGCCATCAGATGATATCTACTCCCCATCAATCACTACAGTCGCATCTCAAATCGAGGAGTATTTTACTGCATTCCGAAACCTTCTGCTCCTACCAAACCCAAATCAAATCATTAACAACCAAACATGTCGCGATCCTGCCTCTGTTTTCTCAGAAGCAGCCCTCCTCGGAAGCCGCCCTCCTCGGAAGCACTCTGCTGCCTGCATCGGTAAATGGTGAGTTACATGCTATGGTTTTCTCTCGGGGCGATCAAACTGGTATTGTAATTTGATCTTTGTGCCTGTGATCGATTCATCATCAACCTCCAAAAGTCAAAGTCACCCTCGGACAACTCCTTGGGGTTTGGTTTGGTGGTGTTGACAAGCCGGCATGATCATATCTATTTTTCCGATCAATATATGGAAGTATAAACATACATGCAACGCACCCATGTTGTACTCGAGAATACATACATACATATTAATGGAAGGTTGCAGGGATTGGGATTATTTTGTCTGCGTAAAAGACAACCACCATCCTTGTCGAATGGTGAGGAGTCATAGGAAAAGGTGGCGGTGTTTCCAAGGTGGGTGGGCGGGCAGCTGAAGAGGAGATGAGAGGGAGGGAGGGTTTGGGGAAGACAACAAATGGGACTTCAATTCCATTCCCCAAATATCCCCTTAGCTCACACACACACACACACACACACACTCTCATCATGCTGGATTCTTAGCTTGCCCTTTAGGTGAAGAAGCTTTGTGGGGGTCCCATGCATGCATCTGATGCCCAATCCATTTCCTCTTTTCTAAGATATGTACACTGCTGAAGTCAGATGACACACTCAATCTCTGGGTGAGATCTAATTCCTTAGAACATGACATGAGACTTTTGGGTTGCTCATGAGAGTCATCTATGCAAATGGTGTCATTAGTTACAACTAAGCCACATGAGAGGTTGATTCTTCTGTATTATTTTTTTCCCCTATTTTTATTTATTTATTTATTTTTATAAAAAAAATTATATTTAAAGATAAAACGGCATCCTCCAAACCTCAAGTCAAAAAGAATATGCTTTACTACTTTAGAGAAGACAACTCGAATAATATTCATGACATATCTAACTTTTATCATTTAATTGGTAATAAAATTGATATAAAGTTTGGAAGTAAATAATTCAGCAGCATAATAATAATAATAATAATAATTCAGCAGCATCATATCAATCACATTACAACCATTTCAACAGCACCATCTTATCTCCCCCCAACTAATCTGAGACAACAAAGGTTCGATACATCATCGTTTTATTAGGATGTGGACTGATGGATGGATGGATGGATGGATGAGACTTGGAAAACCAGTCTCATTAACTAAATGAACCATTAAAAATAGCCCACATTAGTCTATGATTCTTAGCCTTATTAACTGTTTGTTTGTTTGGTTGTTTGTTTGTTTTCATGTTTGTGATTTATTTTTATTTCTTTTCTTCATTATCTGTTTAATTAAATATTGTTATAATGTCGAAATTGTATATCTAATTCGATTTACTTTCTTTCGCTTTCTCGTGTCTTCTTCTTCTTCTTCTTCTTCTGCTTCCATTATTTACTCTTATCGCTTCACCAAATCGCAAATTCAAAATTTGTACATCGATTTCAAGTACTCGTCTTTCTCTCCGTCTCTTCTTCTTTTTCTATTGGGTATTCTCATTGCAAGCTGTGCTCGTGGGTTGGTTGGTGTCAACTCCTATGAGGATTGCACGAGGAGTTGCAGAAGAGCAAGTGTAAGGAATCGACCCAGTGTCAGAGAAGAGAGAGAGAGAGAGAGAGAGAGAGAGGAAGAGGCGACAGAGCGCAGATGGGGTTGCAGAGGCGGCGCCGCCCGGAGAGGAGGGTGGTCCCGTCGGTGCCTGTGCCGGCTGCCCTCTCCGCCGCCGCACTGCTCCTCCTCCTCGTCCTCGCCTCCCACTCCCTCCTCGCGTCGTCGCCCACCGCCGTGCCGAAACCCCGCACCAAGCCTTCCTCCATCTTGGTACGGTCGTCGAAGGCTCTCGTTTTGACCCGTTCCTCCTCGTCGTTCCTCTACTCTGACATCATTGGCTTGCAGCTCAAGAATCCGGTGGAGGTACGGAGGAATGCCGCCGGCGCGATCGATGTTTTCCGTGTCCCGGTGCGTTTTCTTGGTGCTTGATTTGCTGCAAAGTTGGATCTTTTGCCTCTTTTGATTCTTCCATGGTATCGATTTGTTTGGATGGTATGACTTCGTAGAGTGGAGGAGGCGGCCCGGTGGCTGACCTTTGGGGTTCGAAGCTCTCTAAAGATTACTACGGATGCAGCAACGCAAGCAGTGGGTTCGCGAGTACGTGCTGTTCTTGTTTTGGTCTGTTTTGTTTCTTCGCCGGCGAAACTAGTTGGAGAATGATGTTTTGACTTTGTTCCGATTGAAGAGTTCTTCTGATTTGTTGGATTGATTCTGCATTCGTTTTATCAGCCTCCGATCACGTTTATTCGGATTGGTACGATATTAACGTCTCTTGAGATTTGGTTGTCTGATGTTGATCTCGATATCATTTTGCAGCAGCTGAATCCAACAGTCTGCCCAATAGGTACTTGATGATTGCAACTAGTGGAGGATTAAATCAACAACGAACGGGGGTGAGTTGACATGTTCCAACCTTTTCTTGTGTGTGTTGATGGGTACATCTTTTCTGGGGCAATCGTCAGACAAAAAGTATTTTCTTTCTTTGTTTTTTCTTTAATTTTTTATGAAGTTCAATGCTGTGCAAGTTTGGGAAATTTAGGACAAATTATTTCTGGGTTTATCAAAAAAAAAAAAAGTGGCCTCGAATAATTCTTCTCATGTAATTTTTGTGGACAAATTACTTTCGGAGTAGACTGGATGGTCACATCCCACAAAAGAGACAATAAAAAGTAGTAGTTTATCACAATGTCTTCTTTGACATGGGAGATGTCTATCTGTAGGATTTTTTTTTTTAACTATTGAGAAATCTTATAACACTTTGATGCAAAGAGCATCTTTAAAGACTCCATTAAAGAAATTGTTCATTGTCCTATTTCTATCATATCAATACATCTCATTCAAATTGAACACAGTAAGATTGGCCTTAAGTTGCTCCGTTTTGCTGTTAGCATGTGGTTAAACCTCAAATCTAAGAACGGTAATGCAACACAGAAACAGCTATCTAGCCTACTGTAGGGCAAGAAGTTCCAACAACTAGTCAGACCTTGGTAAAGTTTCAGCTATTGTCTCTTAAGATCTGCTGCAAAATACCAACCAATAATGACTGCAGTTATTGACTTTGGTTCATTAATTTTACCATTGTCTCGGTCCACCTCTTTTCACAAGCTTCAAATTTGCATTATAGTTTTACAGCATGTTTAATGAAATCTTACTAAAATCAACTATAAGGACCATCTATTTAATGCCATAGCCTCTTTTTCAACATTTTAGCTGAGATCATACCTAATGCTCAATGGCAAGAACAGATTTATGTAGCCGACTCCAAATAGTTGGTACATTATGTATGGCCTATTATTTTATGATATCATACCTAACATACTTGAGATATTAACTCTTCACTTGTCTACTTAAAGACTCCCTGTATTGTTTTCCTAGGTAGAATATAAGATTTGTCTTAATGATTTATTGTCTTTCCCTCATAATGATGTCTTTGTTTCATGATCATACCAAATGATTATTATGTGCCCTGCACAAACAAATAAATTCTACTTTCTGTGGACAAGGGCAAAAGATCATGCTTTTAACTTTAGTTTATGTTTTTACATCTGTCTATGTTGAAAAGCACGTTTCATTATGTGCCAAAAGAAACGTTTTGATCACCTCAATCTATTAGGGACTTTTCTTGCAATATGTATGTTCATTAGCTGTGTTTCTGATGTACATAAATGAAAACTGTTCTGTTCTTCCTGAAGTTATTGTCAATAGAGATACATCTAGGGTTAAAATCCTTTTGTAGCTTTAGAAAGTGGTCTTTCAACATGGATTATACACCTGAACGAACATCCACAAGGGGTTTCATATATGCATGGACAAGGAGAGTACTGTCTTGCTTGTACATCTGCTTGGTCGCTTGTGTACCAGTGAATAAACATAGTTTGTGTGGCCCATCTGGATAAGCACATCTTTTGCTGATACGATAGTGAGAGCATATGAGGAATGCATGAATGAGCAGGCATCCTTTAGTTTCACTAATGGGCATAAAGATTTGAGTCACTGAATGAACCCCTTGATATGTAGATGACGCTCAAAACAGTTTATCTGATTTCGGTTCTTTGATTACATATAAGTGAAGCATTGTATAAAAGCTGACAGACCTGTTCTATTGTTAGGGGAATATGATGGCATTCGATTGATGGAACTAGACAGCATCAATATTTTGCTGTTTGGTGTTGCTTTCATGGAGTGTAGATTTGCTAGTTTATTCTCCTGTAGATTTTCTAGTTTCCTATGTTCAATATGGAAATAATTGCATAAGATTACTAATGTAGAAAATTTTGAAATACTGTTACATGCAGATAACTGATGCTGTTGTTGCAGCTCGAATTTTAAATGCTACACTTGTTGTCCCTATCCTTGATCAGAAATCTTTCTGGAAAGATGCCAGGTCTGTTTCAAATAGTCTACCTTTCTGAAAGCAAATGCTGTATTTTTTTTCCTTTTTCAAAATATCAACTACTAGCAGACCAATTGCACTAATTTTTTTTAATTGAGCACTGAAGTATTTTGTTCTCCCATGATCTCTATGTTACAGTGATTTTGCAGACATCTTTGATGTTGATTGGTTCATTGCAACTCTCAGAAAGGATGTCAAGATTATTAAACAACTCCCTGAAAAGGGTGGGAAGATAATTCGGACTCCTTATACCATGCGTGTTCCAAGGAAGTGCACCCCGAGATGCTATGAAAGTCGAGTGCTGCCTGCACTTATGAAGAAGCATGTGAGCTATTTGCAATAAAATAGACTATTTTTTCTTCTTTTATAGATAAGTGAAATATTATTTTCTTTTTTTATCTTTATCTTTTAATTTTTTGAACTTTATTAAGAAGTGACATTTGTATATTATGCACATGGACTTTAATTTCAGTAAATAGGAAAGGGTAATATGCTGTTTATCTAACTTTCTAGTCTTGAAGTTCTCTAAGGATCATCTTGAAAAGTCCTAAAAGTGAATCCTGAAGTAGGATCTAGAAAAAAATTAACAATATTAAAGTACCAAACTAGATTGGAGGATTTATTGCAGAATCATTGGTTATACTTGAAATTTATCCTCTTTTGTTATTGTAAGTTAAATTTATTAGTATTGTTTTACTTCTTTTTAACATTGGCAAGCTTATGTAAATACTCGAGTTTCAGATCCTTCTTTCAGGAATAATTGTGTTTGCTTCAAAGAGAACGCTCTTGTATGAGTTCTACTGGAACTAGCTATGCAGATTCCATCTCAGGGATTAATTGAGCTTACAAACTATCTTATGTGTTGATGCATGTGGAATAACCTGTGTCAAGTCTTTGTTATATTTCCTTAAGAAGTATTGCTCACTGCCAAGGTTTATCAACATTGGGGTTGCTATGTCAAAGATGCATTAGAATTCTATTTACCAGGGTTGACGTTTTGAGATTTGTTAACATGTTCTGATCTATTTTAAATTAACTTCATATAGGAATATAATTAGATAATCTATTGCTGTTTGTAATAGAACTTGTGTTGATCTGGCCATAAAGCCAACCCCCAAAGACAAATGTGTTAAATTAATGCTGACAAACAACTTCTGCCATTAATTATTTGTTATCAAGAGCAATATCATGAATATATAGCGCCCTAAGTGATGAAAATTACCAATGTCTCTGATAATTATTTTCCACACGTAAAATTTCTTTACTGATTTCTGGTGCATCTATTTCATTAGCATGTGAATTCCATTTGAGAAATAACTGATTTCTGGTGCATCTATTTTTAGGTTGTCTTTGTTTGCAAACCCAATTCTCATCTTCCATGAATTGCAGGTTGTTAAGCTGACAAAGTTTGACTATAGGCTTTCAAACAAGTTGGAGACCGATCTTCAGAAATTGAGATGCAGAGTAAATTATCATAGCTTGAAATTCACAGATCAGATACAAGCAATGGGTGATACGCTGATCCAAAGAATGAAGGCTAAAAGCAAACACTTTATTGCCCTTCATCTAAGGTAAGAGCATAACAGGGTGGTCATGTCTTTGATTGTTACCTTTGGATCCAGATACATCTGTTTAGCTCTTCTTAACATGTTTCTACTGTGAGTATATTTCCAGATTTAGATACAGAATAATTTCATAAAATATGACCAAAATGTCAAGTGTTTGCTTTTATCCTTCATTCTTTGGAAGCTGTGCTAATTTTTCTGCATTCATTCTCATTTTTATCATGTTAATTCGGTGAATTCTTATATAACACTTGGAAACTGTGTGCACTAATTCTCATTCTTGATGTTATAAGCATTTTCGAGACTGTAATCCAGTTCCATTTCTGCATCAAATTTGAAATACAAATATAGTCAGACATGACATTCCATCATTTGGGTGACCTTGAAACTGCTGGTTTATGAACTCGTATATAGTTGAAATGATGCATCTGATTTGGAAATTTTGGTGCACACAACTTGCCTTAAAACTCATTCCTATGTCTCTTGCACTAGCTTTAGAATGATATTGAACCTTCTTATCCTATTACGGTCAAACTTTCGAGAAAACTTCTTGTCGAGTACTTATATATTCAGTTATTATTTGCCATCTCCATTTTGTTTATTCTATTTCTTCTGTCTATGTCGCTCATAGTCAAAATTCATTTAAAAAATAAAAGAAAATGTTGCATGCATCCCTTTTTCACGTTGAAGAATTGAGAATTTGTCATGTTACATTCAAAAATGCAGGCAACCTTATGGTAGCATGCTCCTTTTCTGATACATGTTTCAAACAATGTGGTATTTGGATGAAAAATTCTCAGATTTGTAATTAAATTATCTGAACTTATGCACACATTTTTTTTTATCTATTACTGTGATTTTAAATCATAGAACTAGCACAATAACTATTTTCTGTAGTTTAATGGTGGCAATATAGAAGATCTATGATACATGTGTCATACTGATAATTGACAGATTTGAACCTGATATGCTTGCCTTCTCTGGGTGCTATTATGGAGGAGGAGAAAAGGAAAAAACAGAATTGGGTGCCATACGCAAGCGGTGGAAATCCTTACATGTAAGTCAGTGCTTTTCAGTCCCTTGGTTTTTTCTTTACAAAGGGTAAGCGATGAAGACGAGATTTGATAGCAGTAGTCAAAATTTTTACCAACCAAGCTAGCTAACATCTTCTGCTTTTGAACTTATTGAATAGATTGCAAAAGCATTGTTTCCTTGTTACCTTTCATTTTAATGTCCAAGTTCTTTGTGCAGACCAGAAACCCGGAAAAGGAACGCCGACATGGGAAATGTCCACTTACACCAGAAGAAATAGGTCTTATGCTTAGGGCTTTGGGCTTTGGAAACGATGTTCACCTCTATGTGGCATCTGGTGAGATATATGGAGGAGAGGAGACATTAGCACCTCTAAAGACACTATTTCCAAATTTTCATTCAAAAGAAACCTTAGCAACCGAGGAGGAATTGGCACCATTCTCATCGTATTCATCTCGTATGGCTGCGCTTGATTTCATCGTATGTGATGGCAGTGATGTATTTGTGACCAACAACAATGGCAACATGGCCAGGATATTGGCTGGTCGAAGGTAGCTCTATTATTCATAGTGAGTGTCTCATACATGAAAGGAAAGTTCAGGTTCTCTAACTCCATTTGCATTTGACATCTTTCAACAGGAGATATTTTGGACACAAGAGGACTATACGACCAAATGCTAAGAAACTCTACTCCTTGTTCCCGAACAGAACCAACATGACTTGGGAAACCTTCTCCTCCAAAGTCCGCACTTTTCAGAAAGGATTCATGGGAGAGCCCGATGAGCTAAGACCTGGCAGAGGTGAATTCCACGAGTACCCTGCAGCATGCATATGTGAAGGTTCTAAGGTGGCAGCACATTCTAATTCTAATGATCGGACTGAGGTTAGCCATAAAAATGGAATAAGCAATGTAAGCAGAAGTGCTGGAGAAGCGATAGACTACCATTCTAGCAATGAGGACTCAGACTGGATTGACTTGGATTATGGAGAAAATACACCTTTAGGTAGAAGTTTCTCCAATGGAACCGAATCAGAGTATGATGTCTTCATCAGACAAGAGGATCCAGAGTTGGATGAAGTACTTTCAGATTAGCAGAATGCTGTCATAACTATTCTATAGTCAAATTATTTTTACATCTTCAAGAACCTTGCAGAAGAACTGCTTACAGTAGACACACAAGGAGGAAAGGAGAAGCCCAAAGGACTCGGACAAAAAGGTAAGAATAGAACAAACTGATCCAGATAAATTGGAATCTGTAATTGCAGATATCTTTTTTTTTTTTTCAATTTCTTCTGCATGTTTTCTTTGTTGCTGATGTTTTGTCTTAACATGAATTCTTTGTGCTTTGATCTTAGGAGACTAAATACAAGATTCAGACTGTATATAAAGCCTCAGATAACAGAAATGTACAGTTCCTTTCATGTACCTGATCGATTGAAGGAGCGCATTCGGTGCTCTCAAGATTTTGTCATAGTTTCTTGTACATTCTTTTAATTTCTTCTTTCTTAGGTTTGTTCATCTGGCATAGCTTGATTTATCAATGCTTGGTTCGTCTTTGTACTCCTAAATTTATTCTAGATCTTAACAGTGCCACCAAAATCCTTGGGGACACATGGTTGTGTGAAAAGACATGAAGAAGAGAAACAGATGTGACTCGAATGTTTTGTCAATCAGGACAATTGTTGTACAACTGTTTCTTGTACTCGTCGACAATCTATATGGTGCTTGTGATTGCATATATTTTTGGATTCACTAGTGTGGACTGAATTCAACCCATGAAATCATCTACTATTTTGGTGGATCTGACTGGATGGTGTTTAAACTTTAAAGAACAATCTAAAGGTTTGATCTGATGATCCCTTCCTATGTTATTATCACATGAAAAGATCAAAGTCAAATGACATTTCTTAACAGGACATCACCTGGTTTTTTGAGAAGGCAGTCATGAAGGAGTGCCAATTCCTCCAATCTGAGCCCTTCTTCATCTCTTCATTCCTTTTTCCATAAAACAATAATTTATAGCAGTCTAAATTATTGTTTGTTTGAAGTCACAGAAATAGTGCACCAAACTCAAGGAAGTTAATTGTAATAGTATTCTAAGATCCACCATGGTGGGTCTTCTCAGGATTCAATAAATCTCTAAGAGTTGTAGAGTTTGCGTCAATCTGGATTTGGGTCTTCGTCAGTCGACCACTACAAAGACCTCCACATTGACTTGGACGCAGGGACGCGGAAATTGTCTCCTTGGAAGATTGATTGACTCACTTGCAGACATTTCAGGACACCACAAAGTCGTGAAGACTTGAGGAGGACTCGGGAAGTTGTGAAGCAGTAGGGGGTGTGATTCGAAGCATTCTATCTCATCCCCCTTCTCACCTCTTTTTGCTTCCAAAATTGTTGGGTGCGTGTTAAGAGTCAACGCATTTAGTGATAGAGTGAGTCTACATTCTTCGGATCAAAGTGGAAGGACTTGTTTTATCGATCTACTACTGTAAGTAAGAAGATTTGCATAGAAACTGCACACAAAGTAGATTCGATCGAAGGGATTAGGAATCGGTCAAATTAAGGACGACGATAGTTTCATGGCCTTTCCGACTCTATAAAGACACTTGAAGAAACCTACCATTCTTTCTCGTGGGAGACGCACACAAACTGACTTGTAGTTTAGTTGACAGTGGCGAAGAACAGCAGCCGTAGCAGCGGCAGGAATCAATGGAGAGAACAGTCCTGGGATTTGAGCTACCTGGTTTCCGGTTCCATCCAACGGAGGAGCAGCTCTTGGATTTCTATCTCAGGCGAGTCGCCACCGGCGAGAGCGCCAGCTTTGACATCATTGGCGTCCTCGACATCTACCGCCATGACCCATGGGAGCTCCCAGGTTGGTCTACCCACCCATTGGTATAGCTCAGCAAGTAGATCAGAGGTCATGTCGTGTTGATTGGCTTCAGGGTTGGCCAAGATCGGGGAGAGGGAGTGGTACTTCTTCGTGCCGAGGGAGCGGAAGAGCCGGAGCGGAGGGCGGCCGAGCCGGAGGACCGAGGGGGGGTTCTGGAAGGCGACAGGGTCGGACCGAACGATCCGGAGCGCGGCGGAGCCGAGGCGGGTCATCGGGCTGAAGAAGACGCTGGTGTTCTACCGGGGCCGCGCGCCGCGGGGCACCAGGACCGACTGGATCATGAACGAGTACCGGCTGCAGGAGGACTGCACCTCCGCCGGCGTGCCCCTCGTGGTGATACGTTTTCCTCGATGAACAGAGGCAGGGTCGAAGATCGATGGCTTTGACGCTCATATTCCATGTGGCTTTCGTTGCAGGAGCACATGGTGCTGTGCAAGGTGTACAGGAAGGCCACATCACTGAAGGAGTTGGAGCAGAGAGCAGCTAAGGAAGAAGACACCAAGGCATGCAACTCTGATCAAGACAACTACCACAGTCCATCGAATCCATTAGATTCCGGCGAATTGAAGGAGACGAAGGAAGAGGTGGTAAAAGAAGTGGAGGTGTCTTCTTCCTCGGCCGGCGTGGAGTGGATGCAGGAACCCTTCATCACGCAGCCATGGATGGACCACTGGTCGCCATATGCCAACACCCTCAACTTCTAACTACACCATGAACCACGTTGCTGTACAGAAGAGTCATCAGCATTGACTCGGGAGCATTAATCCTGCTTCAAGAACATGCGCCAGGGATTCAACAACTCTGCTTCTGATGCTTTGATCTCAAGTAAACAGACTGTTCCTCCTGTGTGATTCAGGAAGAAACAAGTAGGGAGTCAGCTAATATTAGATTTGTGCATCTTATTCTGCAAAAAACAAAAACAAAAAATCATGCAATCTATCAATCTTTTGGTTAGGATGGATGAGGCAATTTCCATGTTGATCTAATCTAATCCAACCAGGGAAAAGCTTAGTCCGATTCAATCTCGCTGCTGATCCCCTTTCGTATTCGTACAAGGTTTTAAGAACAGGTCAATCCTCACGTCCAACCACAGGAAATAAGAGACTAGAGAGAATATTTGACTTGGGAGACTATATATATATATATATATATATATATAATTTAAGAAAAATATTAGGAATCTTTGAGGTGATGTTGAAATTTTTATCTCCATTTGGACTATGTATATGTAATTTAGGTTATAAATTCATGAAATAAATATTGAAATAGTTGATATTAATAATATTAAAATATTAAAAATATAGTATTAGAGTTTATATATGAAAGATAAGAAATGATATATTATTAAAATATTAACTGAAACCAATTTGGTTCTAATTCGATATTAATAATATTAAAATCTCAATATAGCACATGATATTAAAAGAATATTCGTATGTCGAATAAATAATCTCGCATGATTATGAATTAAAAACTGAATATATAGAATGGAAAGAACGCAGCAACCTCACATTTCCGAGTCTCGAGTTCACCGGCCGTTCCAAAGCCTGGAAGTGAATTGGCAGCCTGGACGAAGGCTTCGTAGGTGTAGAAGCCCATTGCGGCGCGCAGATGGCATCGTTTCGATGCTTCAGCATCTCGTCGGAGAGTGAGTAGCTAGCTGATGATGGAGATCGCATGCCGGTCATGAACCCTCTCGGAGGAGCTCAGCAAAAAGGCCAAGCCGACAATGGCCACCTTCCACACTCCCATCATAGGGACACTAACGAAACATGTATGGAGAAAGAGGAAGGCGAAGTGGTGCTTATGTAAAGAGAGAGAGAGAGAGAGAGAGAGAGGTGCAGGCGACCGAAGACTGGCAAGCCACTCTGCCTCGAGATCTATTTGGTGATGAGAATGGTATATAAGCGTTTTCATTTTTTTTGTAAGTAGTTATTTTTAGTATTTTAATTTTTATATTTTTAAAAGTTATATTGAGATTTCGTGAAACATTAAACTCACTACTCAAGTAAAATCTTTTTTTTATTATTTTTAATTTTATAAAATTATTTTTTAAATTTGTATAGTAATTTTAATGTTTTATTTTCGTAAATATAAGGATCCCAATGTAATTTTTGAAAATATAGAAATTGAAATACTAAGGGTACGAAGTAATCTATAATTCTACTTTTGAGTCCTATCACAAACAACGCATCATTAGTAGCTCTCTCTTTTTTTTTTTTTATATTTCATCGGAATATATATATATATATATATATATATATATATATATATATATATATATATATATATATATATATATATATATATATATATATATAAAGACTACAAAATTTTTCAATACATTAAATCTAGATTTTAAGACTATTAATTAGTAAAAAGTTAAAAATTTTAGCATCATTTATGTTAGAATATATTTAAAATCCTCAATAATTTCTATCCAAGACCACTCAAGTCCTCAGACAAATTATTTTATGAAGGCATTTTGGCTACTTTAAAAAGGAAAAGCTCTATGTAGGCTAAAAGAAAAAAAAAACATAAAAATTGTGAGGTTTTTTCTCGAGAAATCACTCTGTCATAATTGTGAGAAAGGATAAATAGACCATTAATTGTGTTCTCTTTTGATAATAGCAATTATAGGTTCTCCTGCACATAAACATATGTTCGGATATAGCAATCATAGACATACTTGTCTCATCTAAATGAAATGTCATGGCATTTAGTGACATCCATGCATCAGCAATTTATCTATAATAGCCAGTAATTCTGCTCCAAATATATGTATATATATATATATATATATATATATATATATATATATATATATATATATCGATAGATCAGTAGCATAGCCATGCATATGATTTCTCCATATTAAATGGCAGTACATGATGTTCATATCTGTCATCTTTTATTCTCTATGTAGATAGATGTCCTTATAGGACAGAGAGTACTGCCCCTTGAGGTACTCCGCATGGACTTAACTGAGTGGAAGCTCAAGCAAAAGGCTTTTGCTTGCCGCAGCCAAGATGCTCTCCGGTGGTCACGCCAAGCAACATGCAGTATCTCTTGAAGTACTCGATCCTGTCTGTGGAAGCCTTAGAGTGCTGCCCACACTCGAGTGCTCCATTGATGATGTTGGTCGTCACGCCAAACCCTGGATGCCTTCCCGCAGCCTCGTCCTCCTTCGACGGCTTCCACTTCCCCGTCATCACATCGTGGCACGACGGCTTCGGCAACTGCGGTGTCATCCAGAACCATATCGCCGTCTTGAACGAGATCACCGGATCCTTCGACACCAGATCGGGGTCGTTGAGGAGATCCTTGCCTATAGCTTTCCCAGCTTGGCCGTAGTTGTAGTTGCTGCAGTCGCGACACCAGAACGAAGGATAAGCGCAGTAGCAGATACAGAGATCGTGTTCGAGATTCGACGAGACTCCTTACTATGAGATCTGAATCGGTCCTCGACCGTAGTAGCGTTTCCCCGGAGCGCATGGCCATTGCGTTGCTTTCTTGTCGCAGTAATCCTTCTTTGGATCTTTCTCTTCCTTGTAGCAGTAGCCATAAGAGGAAGGGCCATCAGGTGCAGTCTCCCATCCGCCTATAGCAACAACAGAAGACAGATGATTCAGATAAGAAGAGGGAGAAGCACCAGTGATCGTTAGAAGAGATTAACCTGTGGTTTCATGAGAGGTCTGCGCAAAGAATGCAGCAAGCTCCCGTTTACGGGTTTCATTCTGACCGTAGGTTCCGAAGTGTGGGAATGAAGAGGCGGCCTTAACGAAGGCATCGTAGGTGTAGAAGCCTTTCGCAGGGCACGAAGCATCGTTCCGATGTTTCAGCATCTCCTCGAAGAGAGATTTGGTGATAATGGAGCTCACAGAACCCTCGCCATGAACGTTCCCCACGCAGCTGAGCAAGAAGGCCAAGCTAACGATGGCTGTTGTCTCCCAAACTCCCATCCTTCAAATATCGGGCGCCGTCGTGGAGAAAGAGTGAGGAAGGTTGCATGCTTATATAGAGAAAAGCTAAGGGCTTTTGGTTCCGTCTTCCTCTTTAAACCTACCAGTCCTGTAGATTCTTTTGCATGCTCTCAAGAACGTATGCATCACAAACACAGAACGTGAGGAAGAAGATGAATAATAGCCATCACATGCATGCTTGACGTACAGGAGGGTTCGTATGCCAAAGACGTGGGTTCTACGTATAGGAAGAATTCTGTCTTCCTGCATGCAATGATTCCAAAGAGCGGCTTACGTTAACTTTCTCATCTTCCTCGGCCACTCGGGACCATGTCGTCTTGGTGAAGTCTTACTGTCTCACTAGGAACTCATGGGGCTCGTTCACTGTTCTTCCTCGAACCTACCAATCAAAACGCGAGAAGATTTGCTGTAGAAGGTGTAGATCTTCTTGTTACAGGTTCCAAAGATAGTGTCATAAACATGTGCCAAGTTATACAAGGAGATGACTGGAAATGCTTTGCATGATAAGGTAAATATACGAACACACACATCTAAGTATTGGAGGGTTGCAAAGCTCCAATGATAAATGAAAACATAATTTCCTAAAAAAAGTGCAGCCAGTCTGTTTTGGCTGAATGTTCATATACATTTAGGTCAAAAAATGCACAACAAATGGCACACCAATGTATTAATATAATCAGAGCGAATTCGATATAATACATTTACTCCGAAAGGCACAATAATCACAGGAATTGACACAATAATTTTTGTCGAAAAAAAAGCCAGTGGAAATTTGTAGCCATCAGATGTTGAACTGCTCTTAGGAACCTTTCCCACCCTTTTGCCTCTTCTCTTCTAGCATGGAGGCTTCCTGCAACATATCGACCGCATCACTTTGCATGTTCAGCTTGGCCAGAGCAGCTGCCTGCATGTAGAATGCTGTGGGCCAATCGGGGTAGACGCACTGTGCTTGCATTGCATCCCGCAATGCAGCATCATGGTGATCACACATTAGATGGCACAGGCTACGTCTTGCGTAAACCGTAGGCGAGACCATTGTTCCCACATCTATGAACTGTATAAGTAAAGCAGGAATGATAATAAATACCAACATTCATCACCAAAATGCAAAACCAGCCCCCAAATAGCATTAAAGCTTCATTTTGTTGAGACACAAAGCAAGTCAGATGTTTAGTGCTGGTGATTCGGAGAATATGACGAGTAACTTTCAAGAACTAAATATACCACATAACCAGATAATATAGGTAAGTTACAGACCACAGCACACATGGTACCTGAGAGTAGCACTCGATTGCTGTCTTAAAATCTTTATCACGGAATGCAAAGTCCCCCCGTCTTCTGGCCTCCAGTATATCCCTCATCTGCTGTGTCCACTCCTGGAATGATAGCTATTGCAAAAGGAAAAGAAAATGCATTATTTTCACTTTTCAAGCAGACTATGCGGGCCAAATATAAATTGGCAAATATAAACCAGAAGTCGCATATAATTCTAAGTGTCATATTTACCTCGTTGGTCCCTTCATCGTCTTTGTAGTGTGTCATTACCAAAATCTGATGGATGGCGGTGAGGTCCATTCTACTGCAAGCTTCTCCCATTGGGGAAAGTGGGTGCTGCGGTGTGGCGGGTGCTTCCTCGTGCTTTTGGATCCCAAGCATAACATAAGATGGTGTCTGCAATCAGAGACATATCATTGGATGCAAAAGATGCACATCAAAAGCCTAACAGTGTGTGCACATTTCATGGCAACACAAGTACAAATGTTATCTCCATACACCAAGATGTCAATGTTATTTTAAGTCAAAATAATAATATTACAGCTTTTTAAGCATTTTTTCTAATTCAAAGAACTAATGCCATAGTTCAAACTAGTGACTAATGATAAAGCAGAAGATCATCTATTGTATTTGTGAAAGAGCACAGAACCATAAAACTAATGAGTAATGACCAACACACCAGGCAGACTTTGTTAAGTTGCAAGCATAATCTATCCTTATTAAGCCCATCTAGAAAAGTTCAATGATTTATGCCTACAAGAAAATGCCAAAGATGAATGGCAGTGTCATTTCTGCAATTCGACAAGAGGATTAGAACTAGCAGACGAAGCAAATTTCATAAAACCAAACCTGACTTGTCTGCAAGGGTTATTAACTAATAGTCCCTAATGCTTTGAGTTAATTGATACAATGCTAGCAGAATAGCCACATATTGGCATGAGGGACAAAAATGATATGGATCCTAACCCAGACCAATAAGGTACCTGATTTATAGTGGCATTGGTATCCAACTACTAAATTACCATGCTACACTAAGGCATACTTGGTTTAACAACTTTCTTAACACAAACTATACTAACAACTATTACTATTTATGCCCTTGATTGGTGTCTCAATACATGCTTAATGTGTTTTTCCCATCATACTTGCTAGACAGCAAGTTACGAAATGTTTCCAGACCCATATACATGGTACCAATAATAGTCAAAATAAGGCCTTACCTCCGACTTGGTTTGCAGTGGTGCAAGAGCAGCCACCAGCTTCTTTGTGTTGGGCCGATCCCTAGGTTCATATTGTAAGCACTGAGAAGCAAGGTCAACAAGTGTAGTTGCCTCCTCTGTTGAGAAATTCCCCTCCAAGTGTGAATCCATTAATACTAAGATATTTTTCCCTCTTATCATGTCAAGTGCCTGAAAGCAAGAATTACTCAAGCTAATGCACCTTTATATACGCAATAAAATGATCACGATGAATAAAAACATATTTCCAATGGTACAGTTTTCTGTTCAATGGCATAGCCACTTGTAGGTAACTTGTCAGCACAGTACATGCCGATTTGGCAAGAAAATTGTACAAGTGCTATGTTGACATGTGCATGACTTGGTGCAGCTCTTACGTGTAAGTATCATATGGATCATTATGGTCACTAAGTGAAATCATTGGCCTAAGGTTTTTCACATTTTGTCCAAACAGTTTCTCAAAAGTTGAGTGAAACCCATATGTTAGTTTGATTATCATGGTCCCATCGATATTGCCTCAGGTTAGTTACATGAGTTCGTTATTGCTATTCTGTCCAATGATGGACAGACATCTTGCCAACATTGGATCTTTGGATGCTAACTATGCCATCCACTAAGCCATAAAAGTTGAGGAAACTAATGTTGATACCCATTTTAGGTTCATTATAAAATAGATTAGCTTTGAGTTCTAATATATCAGCAACAATATATTATAATACTTGTAAAGAAGTTAAAGAGCCCCACATCTGAAAGGTTCCAATGGGTGCTATATTTTGTGTTATCCTACAATTTTACCCTCCCTTTTTTTTTTCTTCTCATGTTTTTAAGTGGTTACCTACCTGTTACTCTCTCCCTCTTTCTTTCTTTCGCTCTTTCTTTCTTTCATTCCTCGATCTGATTGAAAAATCAAAGGTCAAATATAAAATTGAAGAAAAGAAGCACAATTTGATATTTTCGAATACTGGAAGACTTTTTTGTCATTTCTGAGAAGAAGGGGCTTTTCTAGGTAAATTTCCCAAGCTAAAATGCTTACATGAGTTGGAGGAATGCGCTTTCCACTGAGAAGGTCCAACAGGACAGTACCAAAGCTAAATATCACACTTTCCGGTGTGACTCTCCCTGTGGAAACAAAATTCTGATTATTTCTGGACTGGCATTGCAAGTTTCCATTTCGTATAAAAAAATACTGTATTAAATTAATAAAATATATCAAATAACAGTAATTTCAATATTATAACACAAAAATACATTTTTTAACAGTATTAACCAAGGCATGTTAAAATTATTAGGTACTATTTGAAAGCTATAATATTAATCATGCTTGAAATTCATGTACAAATAAAATTTCTAATTCAGACAAGTTTTGGTTTTTCAATATTTACTTAATAGGGGTTGACCTTAGAATCTAGACATATATAACTGGCCAACATCATCACTTCCACATCACAGACACATGATTCAGAATGGAAACTCATAGAAACTGCAACTCCTGACAATGTGACATTGACAAGAGGCAATGGTAGCAGGCAGAAGAAGGTCAAGAGGAGGATGAGGAGAGGAGGAAGAGAGGACAAGTCCAAGCTACCTGAAACTGTTGGCCTTCTGGTGTGCAGCTGCCCACATCAGTCTTGCCGCATGCTGCTGCCATGGCATATTGCCATTGTTGCCATTGCCCTGAAAGAGGGGGGAATTGCGAGAGAAAGAAAGAGGTCAACGGATTTACCAAGGTTTGAATCAGGCAACTGAGGATGCCATCCAAACCATATTTAACAGGCCTTAGAAAAGGAGATCAGAGAAAAGGAAAAGACGAAAAGGAGAGAAGTGAAGAGGAAAAAGAAGAAGAAAAGAAGTCTATCTAAGTTCTCCCTTCTCCCTACCTTCATATTTTTGAACATAAATGCTTCCTCGGATCCACACCCACACATGCTTATCTACTGCTGGCTATTTTTAAAATGTATCTTGTCCCAAAAACTTCTTCGTATCTTGGATTTAAATGTGAGTTTAGAAGAAGAACATTTTGCTATCTAGTCAACTTATTTACCTTTTTCCATGCTTTATGGTGCTTTTCAGCGCATCAAGATTAAGGTGCTAATCTCTTTTTAGTAATCTCAGCAAATTATCGGTTCTCTTAAAGTTCCTCGGCATCTTGACCATCATGAGACAACACAAGATCATGCAGAGTCGTGAATGTGTTTTCCTAAACTCATCAATTGATATGGAGTTTTCTGATTCTCCCAGACCCATTAGTAGTAGCATTCTAATGTATTTTACTTTTCACTCAACTTTTAAATTGATCACAGGGCAACACATTAATTGGAAAATTATAAATGCCAACATATGTCACGATGACCCCTATAAGTCCATCAAATTTCTTAAGATAATTATGCACTACTATGATTTGTATATGGAGACAAAAGCCATAACAAGTAGCAAACATAAATGCAGCAAAGTCTTTCACCAAGCATAAACGCATACACTTCAACTGAAATAATTAACTAAATATCCAAAACCTTTTTTTAAAAAAATCCTATTGGTAACAGCAGCGATACCATTTCTCAAATACTCTGGTGGCGTGTAAGCTAGGTTTGTGCTGTAACTTTTCCCATCCCGACTGTTTTTCATGAGACCAAAACAAGAAAGACGGGGATCACCATCCTGCAAAGTGCAAATATGCAGAAAAAATTTTTAGTCACCTTTTGACGGTGAACCTTCTAAAAGAAAAATGTAATCAAATCAAATAATTAAGTTAGGAATTAAATTTTTTCCTTACTTGCCATTGTAATTAAGGAAATCTTAATCTATTTCTTTGTTTGTTAATACGAATTAGGAAATAACTATTAGCATTCCAAATAGGATGATATCATATTTATTATATATTAAATAAAAATAATTCATATTAAATAAATATAAAAATAAAAATAAAATTCCTTTAATAGAAGCCCACCTCCTCCTATTTAAGGGGAGGGATTTCTCTCATTCGTTCCTCACTTAGCCGAGGCCAGCAGTAGGAGGAACGATGAGTTGCATCCTGCTGACGAGAGGTAGGTTTCCCTACCTTTCTTGAAAATAAAAGTTTTAGTTTTTATTTTGATTCTTTAAATGTTGAAAGTATTGTAGTTTGAAAAATACTTATCAATTAGTTAAATGTCAAAATTTTTATTATTGTGTTAAAGTCAATCAGTTCAAGTTTTTATAATGTTCTTTGACCCATGTTTAAGGTTTTTATTTTTAGATTTAAACATGTTAAAAATTTACATGTTTTATGTATTAAATATATGATATTTCTTGACATTACAACTTATCTTTAATCTCATCTGGATTAGAATTTCTGTTAGATTAAAATATGTTATCTAAAATTTTGATATTCTTTTATCTGAAATTTCAAATGTGCTATTCGGAATGATTCAAAATTTATTTGACTAGAATATGTTGAGGTTATACATGTGTTAGAAAATATGATTTCTATTTGAATTTAGAAGATTATTTTCTTGTATTAAAACTTATCTCTCAATCTATCTTTTAATGTGTTATTATGCTTTTGTTTATATAATTGTTAGTAAATATATGTTGTGGTATGAAATTGGATATGAATTGGATTGGAATTGCTCACAGGTCAAGCCCAACTCATAGGTCAGGCCACAACCCACTGGCCAGGCCCATTCAATAGACCAGGCCTAGCCCGTAGGCCAGACCCAACCCACGGATCAGGCATTGGCCCGTAGGCTAACCCAGTCCAACCATCATGGGCGGTCATATGCGACGCACATGACCAGTCCATAGGCTAGGGCTGGGCTAGCTTTGTGTGGTGCATGCCCAGTCATGTATAATACATATGACCAGTAGATGGGTTGGTCCAATCTAGTCCAATATTGTTATTGGATTTGAGCTTAAATATTGATTGAACTAAACTAGACTTGATTGATTCAGGGTGATTCCCAATTGATTGACTTATTCAAGTCAGTTTAACCTAAATTAAACATAATCTAATCTAGATTATACTAGTTTAGGATGGTTCCTGACCAGTTAAATGAGGATTAGAGATCGATTCAATTAGGTTCTAGTAAATTGAGTTCAATTGAATCGATTGAACTATGGTTCAAGTCAATTGAGGGCTAATTTATATTATTTGATATTGATGATATTTGAAAGAGATGTTTTAAATGTGTTATTTCATTCCGATATGGACATGACCAGTGTGAAATTATGTTATTTCCCTGCCGAGAGCAGGTAGGGCGATTCCCTTCGGGGATTAGCGGGCCGTCAGACGTGGCGGTTGGACGGTTCCTCCATTCGCTGTTGGGAGGAACGTGTCCCCACTTTAGCAAGTGAGAGACACCACTTCATCCGCTGTTGGGAGTGCGATATGAGTTTGCCTCCATCCACTGTTGGGAGAACACAAACTCGTCCCGTAGGATAAAGCATCTCCATCCGCTATTGGGGGAGTGCTCCTTCGGGTATTTGAAATATGCAAATGTGATGATTGATTGAATTTTGATCATGTATTCATTTTGAGTTTACTTTTGGGGTTCCTACTCAGCGCTGCTGAATTTTCTTTGTTTTTTATTTTCAGAGCAGCCTCCCTCTAGTACTAAATCGGATTCCAGTGAAGAACGAACCTTCCTCTACCGCTAGGTAGAGCCACTTGGATTCTTCTTGAAGTTGACATCACTATGTTTACTTTTCTACTTAATTTAATAAATAAATAAAATATAATATATATTTATAAATGATGAATAAAATGATGTTTATCTACATGGCTCTGAATGTAAGAAAATATATGAAGAAAGAAAAAATTCAGGATGTAACAAAAAATACAACTAAGTTAACCAGACAAAAAAAGACATGATTCTCGAATAGATACTGGGACTAAAACTTTTCTTATCAAACTCTAGAAAAATACTGAAATGCCTTAACTCAGGTTAAGATAATTGTTCGAAGGCATGCGCCTTCTTGATGCCCTAACTACAGTGTATATCAACTGTACCCATATATTTCCTTGGACAAGGTACATCTTTCTTCTGAGGTTATTATTATCTGATATGAAAAATACAAAACATATGACAAAACATATAAAGGAGGAATCAAAAGATGGAGATGGTTCACTGTGACAAAAAGATGTGGAGTTCAAAAGGCACCTGTTTAATCATAACTTTAGAATTGCCAGTAACCTTAGACTACAACAAGGAACCATAACGGGAAAGGAAAGAGGAAGGAACAAATACAAAAATCACGGTAGTGTAGGATTACCAAAATTGGACCTATTCCATACAAGAAAAACCTCTTCCGTTCAAATCAAAGTTTTTGCTACCTATAGTCATTATCAAGACATGTCACATTAACCAGTACGCTGTTGTGCCAAATACACATACATGTAATTGCAATTACTGTGATTAGTACAAGACGTGCAGTCATAACCATTAAACTATCTTGCCAGAGCATACAGAAACACCTAGTATTAGTCAATTATGAAAAGAGAAGAAAAACTTGTCACCTCATCAAAAAGGACTCTGTATGCGTTTAGATCATGATATAACGGGTGTCCCTCGTTGCTACAATATTCCAAGGCTTCGGCAATACAGAAAGAGACCCTGAGACGCATGGCCCATCCAATAGACTGATTTTCCCCTATTGAAGCAAAGAGATTGAAAAATAATAATCAGCTTCCAAATGTCACAGGCACCCTAAAAGCACAACAGAAGGAACTTAAAAGTAATGATGTACATATCATTCCTTGACAAATGCATATTAATTTATTTTAATCTATACTAAAGCTTTTATGGCTGTATCTGTTATGTTAAAGACTATATATATCACAATATTAATGCAAATCTTGCATTTTCCAAAAACAAATTTTCATTAAATAAGGCATATCCTTGATGGTGATTCGCATTACTGCTGGTCAGTTCTGATTATTACAGGTTGCCGTAACCTTGTACTCAAGGATGGTTGATAATTAGGTCTGACCTAATAAAAGCAAAGGAGGCATCTTGACTCAAACTCCGTAACTGCTTAAGGAAGAATTGCCAACTTGCCTTAACCTTGTATTCAAGGATAGGTCTGAACTAATAAAGGAAAAGGAGGAATTTTGACTAAAACCCCATAAGAACTTATGGAAGGATTGCCGATTATAGCTACAACCAATTAGTAATACTTGCAATGTGGAAGTAGGTACAAGCAGATAATCTAAGACCAGCTGACAAATAAAGGTTTGGCAACATTGCATATAACAGAGGCAGGAATCTGAAGCGTAGAGCTTTCTTTACCCAACACAAGCTTCCATTTCCATATCTGAGACTACTTTTTACCTAAATGATCAAGATACAACCATTTTACACAATTATTACAGAAGAAACATAGAATAGGATCAACAAGGAAAAGAAAAGCCTGAGGAACCATACAGTGGAAAAGATGCTTGGCAAGGGTGTCATTGGGCATATACTCGGCAACAAGAAGCCTCTCATCACCTTCACAGCAGTACCCAATCAAATTCGCCAGTCTCCGGTGCCTCAGTTTACCGACGCCCCAAGCCTCCTCCTGCAATCTCAATCAAAAGTTCCTCTTTTTTGTTCTTACAAAGAGCTCCAAAATATCAACCAACGAAACAGAATCCAACGAGAAGCAATCGATGTGGGGGGAGAGGAGCTAACAGCGAACTGCTTGGGATCAGGCCAGGCCGTCCTGGTGAACTTCTTGACGGCGATCCACCGCCGGTTCTGCAACCGGCCCTTGTAGACGAGGTTGGGAGCCTTGTCGCCGCTCTCGGACACGATGTTCTCCGCACTGAACCCGTTCGTCGCCGCCTTGAGCTCGGCCAAAGAGAACTCAGCGAAGGCCGTCACCTCCCCACCGCCGCCGCCCTCTCCTGCTTCGACCGAGAACGACCGCCGCTGCTGCTTCTGGTGGTTCGAATGGAGGTGATTGTTCTGCTGCTCCGCCGCTGCCGGCGCCGTCGCCGGTTGGTGGTCCCCCGGTAGCAGGGACGAGCAACAAGACCCCATCGCCAACCCACTCTGTCCAAGAAAGAGAAAAAAAGATCTCCTTTTTCCCCTCTCTCTCTCTCTCTCTATGCTTATGAGACAACAACAAATAGTTACACACACTAATAACCAA